TCATTCATGGACTGCTTCTTTAGTCCACCAGCTTGATCTAACAGTTACCTCAGCAGCCAGGTAGTTTCCAGTGGCCAGGTGTTTGAAACGGTAGAGACTGTTCCAATGTCCCGCCCCTCCGCGGCACGGATCATGATGGACAACCTGTCAAACCAATCAGCACATAGAGAAAAAGTTTAACACAAGTGCAAGTTTAGAGGAAATTCTAGAGAATTTGTGTACTTGTGTGTGTTTGTTTGTGTACCTCAACCTCCCACAGGGCGTTGGAGCTGGTCGCTGACGTTGCTGACTGCCTCAGCGTGGTTCGGAGGAAAACGTGGAGTTTGCTCTTGTATTCATCGCAGGTCAGAAACTTTTCCTGCTCAGCGTGAAACAAACGCACCACGTCGCCCTGACAGAGACAGGAAGATCTTAAAGGAGGACTGAAGGACAATTTGGGTTCGTCTGCAAATCTCCCGAGCCTCTCCGAGCATTTATCGTTTATCTCTGAAACAGTGTTGGTGACAAACAGCGCTCCTGCTGGCTCTTTGACTTACTGACAATAACTGTGACTCTTGAGGTGAATTTCAGCATAAAACACGCAGTCACAGAACTTTACTATGCAAAGGGTTTAAAAAGATCCCAGGAGACGGCCGGCAGCTGCAAATATTCCAACAAATAAATAAAAAGTAACGATGTTTATGTTTATGTTTGTTTGAAACTAAAAGTAGGAAAAGGCGAAGGTGAAGACCTCTACAAAGGAAAAACAGGGAAAAAGACTTTAAATTACTGAAGTTATTGTTCAGATGTTGTTTTGATGTCTAATTTAAATATATGCATGTGAAATTTTAAATCTATCTGTGGCACTAAACACAACTTCCTTTTAAAACACTAACTAATACTGTGTGCAGTGCTGCTTCCCCGTGAGCTCACTCACTCCTTTGAGGACTTCCTCTCTGTGATCGTTGAACATCATGAATAGGTTGATCTTCCAGCTGGTGTTGCAGTTCACAGAGTTCACCTGCAGAGGGCGCAAACATGCTCTGGTTAGGGTGTGGGCAGCGCAGTAGAGGCAGTGTGCATTTGAATCTCTTTCTAGGCTAATACTTGTGTTATTTCTTGCCTCATAGAATCACATTTATTCTCATTTCAGATTTGTTTTCACATTATTAAAATATCTATTTTGTCACGTTGCATTATATTTATTTAGCTATATGAAATTCTACCTATTTGTGCTACATTACAGCTTTATTGTGATTATTTGTACAAACTGTAACTATGGAATGTCCAGATTTTAGGATCATTTTGTCTCTCTGTAGTCATATGTGAGTCACTTTACTGTGAAATTCATTAGACTAACAGAAACCCACGGGCCACTCGAGGTACTAAACAGTCAGCAGTTTCCCCACGCGAAAAATATTTCTATATATCCAAAGAACACGCTGCTTCTCTTTCTTTTTATTGGTTTTAAACTGTTTGTTTTAAGAAATCATTAACTTTAATGTGTTAATAATTTTCCAGAAGCCTCAGTCTTATCATTTAAATAAATAACTGCAG